AAATTAATAATAATAAATTAATAAATTCCTTTTATAGTAACACCGTGGAAACTAGATTAACAGTTTCTTGTCATCACCCGCATGCACTCGGGTACAGCTTTATTATGCATCATTATTTACGATAATTGCTTAAGCTAATATCACGTGACTAACCGCTCTTTATTAGGAGAATTTCATAAAATTTAGCAAATTTATCCTTAAACGTTGGTAATGAATAATAACCAATCTATTTTGCTTGGCCTAACCAATACTTATGTATCTGTACGTGCTTTCACCCTATATTTTTGATGCTCTAAGTCAGACGTATTTAAACCGAATGACAAAACTAAAAACAGTCCACTTTTACTCTTAGGTGAAGCTTTTTGTAAAAATTTCATGTGACTTTTTGCGTAGGCGTGCGCAAAAGTTTTGATCAAAATTGTGCGTTTTTGTTGAATAACTTTGCACATATGACTTATACTTAGACCCCATTTGACACTTAATTATAGGTTGTAAGGATCTATCATGTACCAAATTTGAACAAGAAAATCCATGAAAGTTAAGTATGTTTTTCTATCAAATAAAATTGCCCTGTTTTTGGTGCGAAAAATAATAGGAAGAAATTCAATCAAAATTGGAGATTTTATATCTCCTGTATTTCTTAATGGATTGCCTTGAAATTTGGGATATAAAGTAAGGGTCGAGTAAAACACGTCCACTGAAAATATATGATAGTTTGGATTACCAAAGTCCTAACTACAGAAAGTAGAAAATTGCTCAACTATCTCTCCTGTTAACAACACACACATTGTGTCTTGCAGGTTGTTTTGGCCGTGTGTCTTGATTAATTAAGATTAATTACTTAATGATTAATTAAAACACGTGTTATCTATCTACTATACCCAGTATATGGTATTACTTTAAGCAAAAGCACGTGTTATCCATCTACTGTACTCAGCATATAATAGTAGTTAAAGTACGTGTCATCTACCCACTGTAATATATATTAGTACTTAAAATACACGTCATACATAGCTACAATGATCAGTAAGTAGTATAACTAAAACCCACGTTATCCAACTCTTGCAATCAGTATTTAAAATAATAATTAAAGCACGTGTCATTTATCTATTGCAACCAAACCACTATACAGTAGTAATTTAACCATGTACTGTCTACCTACTTTAAACAGTAATCACTATATCATAATACTTAAACCTGGCGTCATCCATACTGTTGGACTGTCAAGCATTTGCATGATGTTGGGTTGAGACCGAAACTCTATGTTAAAAATTAATTTTATTATTGTATTTCAGAGTAACTGTCTATTATTTTACATTTTTAATTAATTTCAGGTACGGGAGTTATATTTTCATCTAATATTTGTTTATTTTAATTTAAATATTTATTCGTCATTTCTCTTTAGCTTGCCTTTAAACTACACAATTATATGCGATTTTCTCCTTTCTTATAATGCGTAAAAACTATAGGTTATATACACATTCACAGTCACCCATTCTTACAAAGTCTGCATACTACAGATTCTAATGCACATGATTATAGGGCGATCTCAATATAAGGCGACCCTCATTTTCAGAAACCATGGGAAATAAAAAATTTAGTGTCATAACGTCATTTTTAAGGTCCGCAAAATCAATACTATAACTAAATAACCTGCAGGTGGATTAGTTGCAATAAGTAGCAAACATCTGGCGTGCATACGTAGACGAATGCTATCTGGACATTCAGAAATACGACAGGCTAGAGTAGGGGCATGTAGTCGGCCGCGATTATAAGGCGACTATGAATTTTACAGTCTAATTATTAATAAAAAAACATCGCCTTATAATCGGACCAATACGGTATATAGGTACATATGTACCAGCTTTATTAATATCCATGTTCCATAGAACATGCATGTAGATAGGAGCCACCTTTAACATTATCTATGTTCCACAGATTATTTGTATACATAGACACTAGTTTTAACAATGTTGTTTTCCAGAAAAGCCTGACATGGCCTGGTACCTAGGGCACTCGACTCACAATCTGCGGGTCCCAAGTTCGAATCTCTTCATTAAACTTATTCGCTCTTTCAGCCGTAGGAGCGTTATAATGTGATGGCCAATCCTACTATTCGTTGGTGAATAGTAATCCAGGAGTTGGCGTTGGGTAATGTGAACTAGCTACCTTCCATCTGGTCTATCACTTCAAAATATACTGGTTATACATGTACATAGACGCTAGTTTTAACAATGTGTATGCTTCACAGGTTATACATGTTCATAGACGCTAGTTTTAATAATGTTTATGTTTCACAGGTTATACATGTACATAAAAGCTAGTTTTAACCATGTGTATGTTTCATAAATTATAAATGTACATAGGCACTAGTTTTAACAATTTACATGTTTCGTAAATTACAAGTGTACATGGACGCCAGACTTTGAAGTAGTTACACACCACAAATTTATTTATATACATACATATATACACACACCGTAATTTTATACATTTTCAAATAATATACAGTATAATTTTAAGTTAAAGAAATATCTATCATTTTTCTTAACAAAAAAAAGATGTTAACCATATCTCTGTTGTGAAACAATCACACTTTTAGAACCTTACAAGCAGCCAACTGTAGAAGTTGTAACATGTCATGAAAACAGATTATTGTGTTATTGTAGCACACGCGTAAGATCTGTAACAAGCGTCCCAATGACTTTTCTCGTCGTATCAATAAGATTGATTTTTGTTCCTGACACAAGGGGTCACGCCTTCAAGCAGTGAATAATTATAAGTATCTGACTTAGATGATGTCATTGTCAAGAAAGGAAGTACAACAAATCGGATAGCGGTTAACCACGGTCATACCCACACATCAAGAGAATACATTGAGAGGGTGGACAGTTCGAACGTCTTGAATTTATGAAGTGGTAAAATAGCATTCTACAGATTTTCTAAGATAGGTAGTTTGTGTACTTTTGTTGAGTATAAAAAAATATCAAACGCTATATAAATATATATAAAAGCCAGTTTTAAAAATGGCTTTGCTTAACTTGTCACATGAGAGTTTATTGCCACAACTACTTTATAAATAAGTTATTGTTTTTTTTTACGTATTTTGGAAAGAAAGGCCAAAAATATAAAATAACAACATACTACATAATAGTTGATTTTTAAATCAAGATAATCAACTGTTATTAATATCTAGCACGTAACGTAATGTCATCACAGTTCCGTCTAAAGCCTGTTTGAAATGTTGAGAATATAGATTTTTAGGGTAATCTTTCTTTTATATCATTTCCAGCGTGGATATCATATTTAATTTCTTGCCCTTTAAAGAAGTATAAAATCTTGCGAATTCCGAGGGGAAGCAATTGGTGGAACATGAGAAATGGACTCTCAGGTTAAACATTTTTAAAAGCAGTGTGAAAGCATACACTCATGAAGGAGTAACTTGTAATGTTCCTTTAGCTACTACATAAAGCTTTCTGTGCTTAAGCTTTACAGTGTCTTGAAATAGAAAAACTATACGTTTTGGTCAGTATCTGCATATTGAAGTTTTTGTATCACTTTCGAAACAGCCAAGTGTACAGCTGAAAGTTTTCATTTGGTAGTGTCTAGAAAAGAATTCTTGTTTATCGATAAATAATGCCAAGACTACAAATACTACTCCTGAACATCTTGATGTGTTTGAACAGCCAGTGGGAACCTCTTTTCCACTAACACGTGGATCAAAGAAAAGGTGTATAGTGAAAAAATGGACTTAGAATGTGAAATGTTCTCAATCAAGAAGTATACAATTGTTTTGTTTGTACAATAAAAAAAGACTAGTTATATGTTGTTGGTTTGTTGTGTTCTGAAAAATCTACTTTTTCAACTCCTGTAAACGTAGAGTGAAAAGTCAAGTAAATGAGTCAAACATATGCTTAGAAGCTTTATTGCAATAAGTAAAGGCAATTATCATTATTGTTTTGTTGCAGTTATTGTTGCTACACATGACTAGACATACGAAAAATAAACAACACTTTATCTTGTTTAGTTATCCATCACAGTGGACGGTGTGTACACTCAACGAGGGTCAACAGCTGGGGCATTCTCCCTTCTTTCCAGTGCTCAAATTTATATTGGCGGATATGACTCAGCTTCAACCCTTTCAGTAGCAAGAATCAGTACCAACTTTGTTGGATGTCTCCGCAAGGTAAGCAGTTTGTCTTTTTACTTACTAGTTTATTTTTTTGCTTGAGGTACTCCCCCTTCAGTAAAAGGACTATTACAAGTAAAAGACATCGAAGACCCAGCCGTTTTGGAAAAAGCATTTTCGTTAACAAATATTTCACGTATTGCCATTTTTATTATTCGTTGATCACAACGTGTTTGTCTCTTACTTGTCTTTTCGATTACTGCTAACAAATAGTTAAATACTTGACTTAAACTTATTTGGTTACCCTTTCGTGACAAGATGTTAGCGTTTGTCTCTTTCTTTATGGTTAAGAAGTGATAATTTGTTTGAATGTAATTTTTTCTTTGTTACTCCTTCTCGATTATAGGAGGTTTACTCTTACTCGTTCTTGTAAATTACTATCTATTGATAAGATATTTACTATGACGAATTTTCTTTATGGGTAGCAACAGCTTGTGGTAATGACAGTTGATTCATCTCGACGTTTCGTTTTCCGTCTTTAGACATCACAGATGCGCAGCCTAGACCTTCTATTAGGATGTTATGCTCTTACTTGAGTCTTCGTTACTACTTGTTAATAATAAGGTGCTGAACGTTTTCTTGCTTTTCTTCATTTATAGGATAAAGACAGAATGTTTGTATTCTTCTTAGCTCTATTGTTTGTCTGTGATAAATAATTGAACTAGTTTTCATCTCGTTGTTTACTCTTGTTAAATAAAAGTTTTGAATCTTATTTTATGCATTAGATAATTCTAAGACACTTGATGCTAACTTGCATATTTCATTAAGTTTTAGTGATAATTATCTAACTTCTCGTCTATTTGTGCAATACTGGCAAATTTAGGTAGTTAATTTATATATCGATTTATTAATTCTACGATGGTTGACACTTATTTACTCTTTTTCCATTACTCGTCAGCGATGAGCTGTTTGGTACTAATTAATTGTAATATTTTTCATCCTTTCTCGTCTTTACGTTTATTAATATTTCCTGATGTGGTGATTGACTCTTATCTATTCCGCCATTAATAGTATTTTATCAGGTGTTGCACTCTCGGTTGTTTCTTTTAGCGCAACGGCATGACTGACGAATTGTGCTTTTAATGAGGCAAGTACCAAATCTGGCACAGTAGTAGAGTTGGACATGTTGATGAACTTCAGTTATACAGTCACAATGAACAACCACTTCTGCACTTGTACGGAACTATTTAAAAAATGCCATTTCTATCGAAAATTATTTTAAGATCAGTCAGATAACATTTTAATTGGAAACACGTAAAACTCTTCAAGGCTGAATTAATCCCTTTTATTGGTAACGAAGCCATAATTTCTGCACACATACATAAGCACAGTGTCGTTTTAAGGTAAAGTATTATACTATATTCTTTAATCCTGTTTTGATTCAAAATTATTTACATGAAAGTCTATTCTTTCTTTCTGTATTCGTGGCTTATAATCTCAGAAATATCATTTGGTCATAACTTATTGAATTGTTTTGCAGTAAAAAAACCATAGGAAATCGTTTTGCACTTGATATCTTGTCATGCCTAGTAGTAAACTATACATTATATTCATAAATATGTTTGTCTTCATTCCAGCATTCTTTAATTCTTGAGTTTTATGTTCCTGTGCTATACTAACGTTCGATTTATAACAAAGATGGCAAGTTGTACGAACTGACGAAGCTAAGGTTTATGATCCATTATCAATATGTAACAGAGAGACATGGAACACTTTAATATACTAACGTTCGATTTATAACAAAGATGGCAAGTTGTACGAACTGACAAATCTAAGGTTTATGATCCATTATCAATATGTAACAGAGAGACATGGAACACTTTAATATACTAACGTTCGATTTATAACAAAAATGGCAAGTTGTACGAACTGACGAAGCTAAGGTTTATGATCCATTATCAATATGTAACAAAGAGACATGGAACACTTTAAAGTGTGAGTAGTATCTGAATTTTCATTCCAGATTTCAGAAGATTTAATCTAAATATTTTTCTTGATTGTTCAAAATTAATTATGTCTCTATGTTTACAATTCTACGAATACGCAAAAACGGACGTTAAATCTGGCTTTATGCTTGAAAATAATAAGCATGACCAACTCCATCACTGTGATAAAGTTAGAGTTTGTATATATATAAAAAAAAGCATAGTTCTTACGAAAACTCAACCATGCCACTCCACTATTTGCTTAACATAAGTTAATTATAAAATGTTAACTCCTTGGTTCCTCGTTCATTATCAAATAACAGTCAGTTTGTTACCTATCTCAATGTTTAATACCCGCTAATCATATTTGACGTATCGCTACTGGTCAACAATAAAGTGTTCAACTAGGACTAATATCTTTACAATTTTCGTTAATCATATGATGATTAATTAACTCATACTTTTGTCAATGTTCTTTTTTGTGTGTAAGTTAATGATGAGGTGCGTGATATGTTTTTTACTTTTTTATTCACTTACGCTAAACATGGCGTGGTGGTTAGAGAACTTGACTCACAATCTGTGGGTTGCAGGATCGAAACCCATCTCTGAACTTGCCCACTCCTTCAGACATGGATCTGTTATAATGTGATTGTCAATCCCACTTAGAGTTGGCGGTAGTTGGTGTTGTCTACCTGCCTTTCCTCTAGTCTATCACTTCAAAATTAGGGACGGCTAGTGCAGATAGCCTTTGAGTATTTTGGGGCGAAATTCAACGAACATCATTATTGTTTTATCTTTCTTTAGGGTTATTTAATAATAAATTGTGTAACTTTCACTTTCTTGTTCAATAATGTTTTTTATTATAAGACGTTATTTGTGTTTTCTTTTCGTTCGTTACTAGTTGCCCCCCCCCCCTCCAATAGCACAGCGGTATGTCTGCGGACTTACAACGCTAGAATCTCTCTCTCTCTGTTTATTACTCATTAATAATACGCTGAATGGTTATTATTTGCCTTTTCTACCATTACTGGTTATACGTCTATTTCTCTGTTTTGTTAACTTGGGTAATTCTTATATCTCCCTTTATTCACTAAAGGTCAAGGAATAAACTAGTTTTTATTTTTTTACGTTACTGACTAATGTTAATATATTCAACTTGCGCTTTCTGTGTGTTTATTGTGTTTACAATATGATTGTTTACTGTTAGTTTTCCCTTCTTATTACTGGTAAAATATAAATATTTTTAACTGCTACCCACCTTCTTATTCATAAATGAATATAAGTTTTGTGATCTATACCTCTAACTCTGGTACATCTTGTTGATCATAAGACATTTTTGTGTTTCTTTGTCCACTTCTTATTGATGATAAGACATTTATGTGTTTCTTTGTGCACTTCTTAATGATAAGACGTTTTCTTATCGTTTTCCTTGTTTACTTCTTTTCGTTTAAGATGTTTTACTTTATAAGTCCTCCGTTTATAGTAGATTATTATTATAATATTTTTATTTGTTTATTACTTGTTAAATGTTTGACTTGCTATTTTTCCTCAGTTTAATTAACATTGGTGACAATACATCTGGATTTTTGTCTTATTGATCATTGCTGTTAATAAATAATCCGTAACATTTATATTCGGTAAAAGTTCAATTGATTTAACTGATCTTCCACGTTAGGCTTGCACTTACTCTCAATAGAAAGTGGTCATCAGCAATGACCAATCACAATAAGTCACATTTCTTGTCAACAAATACAAACGCAAAACTCGAATAATTTGTCATCAAGTATCTTATCGCATAACAAATTGTATTTAATCAAATGTAACTTCTTGGAAGAACAAGGATTAAACCAGATCCAGGTTAACTGGAAATTTGAAAAAAAAAGGAAAATATTGAAATAAGAATAACTTTAACTGCATTTCCATTCCAAATATGATCAGATTTCAGGATAAGTTTTAAGCGTATTGGAGTACCACTGTTATTTGCAATTCGAAGAGGAGGAGTCACCAACTGAAGTGTGTATGTTTAACTCATAAAAATAGAGATTAAGCTGTGCCTATCAATCGAAACAACAGCTTTTCTAGAATGCAAAGAATATAACTCAAGAGTTCGTGCTCAGGCATAAGAGTTGTAATTCGTCACGTTATACGAAATTCAAATGAACTGATGCACTCAAACTAATAGTTTAAATTCTAGATATTGTCAGCTTTTAAGGAACTCAGTTTATGCTATTGGAAAGGTTTTGATTACTTTGAGAATGATGAGGCCAAATAGCGTTTTTTACCTAAGTCTTAATATCTTCTGTTCTATGTTCAAGTAGCGTATCCTATATCAATATTATCTTTACACATAACAATTGTTTGAATTAATAAAATCAATAACTTATAACGGTAAATGACTAAAAGCAACGTTTTCAGAGTAAGTATTTTTATTTGTAAAATCCATGTGTGTTATTGAAATGCCTTGTTATATATATCTAATGATATATACTTTATTGTGGCTACTTTATTCAAAATATCAGTATCTCCTTTATGTATAAATATTGCTTGTAAATAAAACATTAGTATATCCGGTACCAGGAATTTTTATATATAAACTTAACATATACCAATGGTGGGCAAAGCACAGATAGCCCATTGTGTACCTTTGTGCCTAACAAAGCTAAACCAAGTTTAATATATATTTAACCATTTCGAAACCCGGTTTCTAGTGTTATAAGTCCGCGGATATAGCGCTGTCCACTGGAAGGCTACTCGTAGAAGAGAATGTGTTTAACTATAAACTGTCTCAACTTTTCTGCACGTTGTTTTGAAATATAATATTTAGTTTGATAAACATTAATGTTTTTAATATAATTTTAGTTAACTAGCGAAATACATGTTTAGGTGCAGTTCATGGCAGACAGTCTAAGGCTAGATTTGATAGAGCTAGCCAACACTGACAGCAAGTTAGTTCGACCTCATGGAAACCTCCAGTTCATGTGCCAAGAAGTGGAAGCGGCCGATCCCATAACCTTCACGACCAAAGACTCTTTTCTTGTAAGTAAACATAAAAAAATAAGTTGTCTAAGTATTCAGTTCGCCGTTAACTTAAAGACTGTATTGAATAAAGACTCCTTTTTTTATAAGTAAATATAGTCTTACAGCTATTTTCAATAAATAAAAACCTGGCCAGCATTGAGAAATAACTCACTTCTATTAAATGATCTTAAAGAAAGCATCGAGAGAAATTTTATTTTCTGATAAATAAAACACGGAGCACCCTTGTATGAATACTTTTTCTTGCAAGTAGGACCAAGACCAATTTACCAGTACTATTTTCTTATTATCTTGAAGCAAGATCGACATTGACCAAACATTTTTGTTCTGATAACTAGAATGTAGAGCAGCTTTAATCGTGGTTTATTTTCTGATAACTGTAATGTTCCTAATACAGTATCATAATCGCTTTATAATTACGACTTTAATCCAATACTCAAACATGTAGCGTTTTCACATTTTAAAATTAATTTTCCTCAATTTTGAGAAGTAATACTTGCACTTTACCAGAAACACTTTAACAAAAGTTACAAGTATTAGGTACCTTTTAAGGCAAAAAACTACAGCTTTCCCTGGCTGGACGTTCCCTTGCTTTCCGAACTGTAAACTCGAGAGTCCATGACTCGTGTCCCATTGCCTCAAAAATACTGTCTGCACTTTAGTGCTGTGGATGCTCTATAAGATTGACAGTCAACTCCCAATATTTGATTAAAGTAGCCCAAGAGTTGGCGATTAGTGCTGTTAACTAGATGCCTTCCCTCTAGTCTATCAATTTAAAAGTAGAGATAGCTTGTGAAGATAGCCCTCGTGTATAACTTCAAGCAAATATCCGAAACAAACAAACCTTTGTCTTCCTAAGATATACTTTAGCGTTACAGTTTATCTCTAGTCGAAATAGCCCTTTTTTTTAAATGCTAAAAATTATACCTATCGCCTGTATCCATAATGTGTTATCATGAATAACATAACACTACATGTGGTGCCTGTTTTTTCCCTAGAACCGCAGCTCTTTCCTGTTTCATTAGTATTTCAAGGTGAAAAAATCTTAAGAAAGTTCCAGACTAGTGTACTTTTAAAATACCATATTAAATGATGTAAGTCATGTAGCTATAACTTTCTAAAACCTTGCAGTGTTAGTTTAAGGGTAAAGGAAGCTACAGCCTTTGAAACTTCAAGGTGAAACAGGTTGTAATCTCTGAAATTTGGGTATAACGGGCGTAAGTACTAAGGGTGGATCTCATCATCTTTTTAAACAAATTTTTATAAACTATTTATGCACCACAAGCAAATTACCCGTCCCCAGTGACAGGAAAGTTTAAGTTAATCTAGCAAAAGTACCCGTCCCCGTTGATGGGAAACGTTTAAGTTAATCTATCAATTTAAATCATTCCATAAACTTTAAAACGATTAATTGTGTAGCACTCTTGGTTTCACTCAGAGCCAAAGCTCTGAGCTACTTATACCGCCCACCGCGAAAAGTAAGTTACATACGGTAAATCTACATTTTTATTCTTTAAGTTAGGTCACATTTTAAAATGTGAATGATAGTGTGATTAATTCCTAATAATTTAGTGTAGAATATCCTGCTTGCAAAATAAAATTTGGCATCAACATTATTCATGCCTGTTCTCCTGTCATTTCAAAATTGAATGTTAAGCCTTACCTGCGTGCAAAGCTCTTCAAACGCAGCGCGGGAAGCGGCCACTGTAAACGGGAGACAGACGAACGCTCGGACAAACACCACGGCTCGCAATATATTATAAGATCTCGCTCGTAGGCCCATCTCTTTGTTGTTGTTGTTGTTGTTATAGAATCCCTAATAACATACAAGTCACAAAAATTAAGCAAAAATACACTCAATACTGCAATTAATTCTGTCGATTACCGATAGAGTTCCCTAATATATTTTCCCTAGAAAATAAACAATTTCACCAAATTTGTTGGTCAAATTTTACACTGAGTATTGTAACAGGAAAAAACACAAATTCTCAATATGATCCAATATTTGCACACACACCCGCAACGATGGTGTACAGTATAAACACAAATGTGTGATGAGATAGTTAAACAGATAAATATTTCAGCGATGATAGTTTTTTCTTTGTTTGTTGTTCATGGCAAAGCTACTAAGGCAGCACCCACTGCGAGCGCTTTGACAACTCTTTACCTGGATGTATCAGATATAATGTGGTTGATGTATCGTCTTTCTTCACTAATAAGCGCTTAGAATCTACCAACGAAAAGTGGGGATTGACTCTAACATTATAATGCTCCCAATATTCGATTGCGTGTTGAGCGCTTTAACCACGCCAGCAATAACAGACCATTTATAGTAACGTAATCTTAATGAATAGGCAGAGATAACGAGCAAGACAATAATAAAGAAATTACATATACTAATGTATTAACCGAGTTTTATTATTTTAATCTTATAAATCATTACTTGAAAAAAGTCTGTATGTGTGTGTCCGCTTATGACTGGCAAACGACCGGACTGAATTTCACCGAAACTGGCAAGCATTTTTAGAGCTGCTCCCCTAGGGGATTTGTATTTTGTTTGTTTTGAATTTCGCAAAAAGCTACACGAGGGCTATCTGCGCTAGCCGTCCCTAATTTAGCAGTGTAAGACTAGAGGGGAGGCAGCTAGTCATCACCACCCACCGCCAACTCTTGGGCTACTCTTTTACCAACGTGGGATTGACCGTAACATTATAACGCCCCCACGGCTGAAAGGGCGAACATGTTTGGTAGGACGGGGATACGAACCCGCGACGCAGATTGCGAGTCGAGCGTCCTAACCACCTGGCCATGCCGGGCCCCCCTAGGGGATAGCCATAGGGAGACCGATGTTCGTCTTTGACTCTTCGCGGTGCTCTACGTCTTCTCAGTGAGTTAAGCGCGCAGGTAAACTAGCAAGGGATAAAATAAAATATGATGTTAACGAATGCTACTTAGTCCAATATATGATATTTATTAATGTAATCTTTATGAGAAAGATACAGATATTTCAATAAATTCTAGTTAAAATGCTATACGTGTAACGAATTTGTTACATATTTATTTTAATGACAACGTTTATTTGGAATGAGTTTATATTTAAAAACGTGCCTAGCTTACAGTGTTAATTACGTATGGCGAAACTCCTGCCAATTCTCCAAGATTGTAGAATATTCGTGAAGAATCGACAATATATCCACTTCCATAAATGGTTGAATATAGTTCAGTATTGTTGTCCGATCTGTTGAGAAAATCTTTCCAGCGCCTATAAAAGGCGATGCGCCAAAAAAGAGAGAGAGAGATATAGAGAGCTTATAAGTCTACTAGGAACCTGTTATAACTGTGTACGCTATAAACCGTGATTTTGCTAACTCTTATCAACCGGTCCAACAATTCAGTGTCTGACAAAGCTAGGTAGCTTCTCGGCAATTGTACGTACATCGACTTCAAGTTAACCCGCTGGATATCAAGGAGACTCTGAACTAGAAAGTATATTTTGTGTTGTTCGTAAGTTAGTGAAATATTTGTTTTATAAAACTTTGGTTGTGGTGAGTATTCGTAATAATTCTTGTTGTAAATTGAACTGTTGTATATATATTAAAACGTATTTGTGTGAAAACGAAGACAGCGTGTGTCAATCTTGTTGGTAAATAGCGCAAATTATCTAAAATATCGGCTTTGGACTATTTTAAAATCTCAATACATAACATAATAAATTGGGGCTCGTATCCGAGATTTGAATCAGAGACAAAATGCGGTCTAAATTATAATTTAAATCATAATTGAATTTATATTTATCAGTGCCAACAATATATGATCATGTTGGATTATCAAGATTTTCTTGTATCACCCTCCCTAGAACAACTAGAAAAATATAACAAAAATTAATTGCTCGAAATTGCCAAAGTTTTAAAACTAGAAGTTAAAAGGTCAATGAGAAAAAATGAACTAAAAAAAACGTATTATCGAAATACTAGTCGATTATGATTTGTTGCCTGAGGAAGCATTAGGGAATATTCTAGTGTCCCTACTAGCCATTTGTGGTTGAGTGATAAAGATAGATTGTAGATTCAGCTAAAGCTCAAACAAATTGAGCTCGAACAAACTCGTATTGAAGCCGAGAAAGAACAAGCTCGTATTGAAGCTGAAAGAGAAAATAAACGTCTCGAGGCCGAAAAAGCTCATATTGAACTCGAAAAAGAAATTAGGCTGAAAGAAATGGAAATTAGACTCAAGACTGATCGACCAAAGCAAAATGACAACGTTGAACTTAATTGATATGTTAAAGTACCATCGTTCAATGAAAATGGAGTAGATAAATATTCCAACATTTTGAGAAGGTTGCCCAAACCATGAAATGTCCCACCGAAAAATAGTCATTATTCTTACAAAGTGTCTTAACTGGTAAAGTACAAGAAGCTTACGCCACTCTCTCTTTAGAAGATTGTACGAATTAT